CATACTGAAATGAATAGTTATGAATACAATGGTAAATCTTCCAACTGATGAACATTGAATACAATGGCGTTTTTGGTGCTTAGCCCGAGCACAGTCCCTCAACATGCACATTCATGCACATTTTCTTAGCACGGATTAAGGAGCTGTGAGTGAACGCTACCATTTTGTAAGTACTACCTGTTGCTTTCAGTTCAATGAAGTTCTACAAAATTCTCCTCTAATATCAAGTGTTAGTGCAACGTTACTTACACCAAGTATAGACTGATAGAATTGACCATATACCAAACTATTATGATTAATTCATATGCTCAAATTTCAGATCAAACAATCAAAATAAGCGTGATTTATAGATCAAAATGTGTTAAACATATAAAAGATGATACCAATTCATGGCGTATACCAGTATGGTGAATAGTCACGTGATTAATGCCTTCATTGTCTCGACACTGAATGGTTCAATGGTGTATTGTTTCGAAGGTAAACAAATTCCTTCTTGGCTTTTATAATTTTATTATTTATTATGAAATTCATGACAGATCATGACTTTAGTTTTCTCCATATTCATATCTACTAGCCAGCGTTATCTTATTTTCCCTTGACGACTCCACCTGCATGATAACCGTGCATGTACACAGATGACCAGGCGATGTTCATTGATTGCTATCGACAAAACCAAACCATCTGTCGTATATTTTGTAATTCATGGATGATTAAATGAGTTATTATCTTTGTGTATTTTTAGATTATTCATTTTCCTCATTTGTTGTAATTTTTGACATTGTAACTTCTTCTATTTGATCACCGAGTTTAACCGAAGCTCCTAGATCAATAGAGTAGCATGCAGGCAACCAGCGCGAACAACTCCCAGTGTTTCTAGGTTCTGAAAAGTTTCCCTCACGGGTTCTGTATCAAGTAATATAGACTGTCGACAGTTCTCGGGCCTAATAAAGAGTCACTTATTTTCAAACGCCGTAGGTGTGTTAACCTTACGGCCCTCGCTTGAAAAATGCTTTTGGCATTTCGTTATAACGCCTTTAGCGTTTGAAAATAAGAATGTATTAGGCAGAGAACTGTCGACAGTCTACAAGTAATATTGAAAACTAATATGCAATTAGACTCGTTGGTGAAGGTATTGTATGTGGATTGTAACTGCATGTACCTCCCAAGGCGTGGACCTCTGCTGATGCCTGAACTTCAGTATTTCAATGTATATTTCAGATAAGTTCGATTTATTTGAACTAATGAAATTTAATTAGACACATGACGATGACATGAATATTCACTTATTTCGAGCTCCATACTAATTATTGGGAAATAATGGGCAACACAGATCCTGTGCCTACATTTCTGCCTCTATTAAATTTGCCTTTTTAAATACATTTTTATAACCAGAAAGATATAATTAAAATTACGGAGCAATTGAAATATACAAATTTGTGAAGAGTAGAATTGCTAATATACCGATTACTAGAGGGAATTGCGCGTTTCGTCGCGCGAATGATAATCATTGATTGGAATGACGTGCTTATCAACTTTGGTAATATGCTACTGACAGAGCCATATCCAGGGTTAAAGACCGATATGGTATATAAACCCGCGCTGGTGGAGTATATTATTCAAATGAAGTCGCGATCGTCCTCGCCGAAAGTAACAATGGTGAGTAAAAGCTCAACAAAAACAGTGGCCACATTTGCGTTGTTCATATATTTACGATTTAATTAGCGACCGCTCATTAGATGATTTGAAACATCTTCGTCATAATAATATTTAGGTACTTGAACAAGTGTTGTCACAGTCGTTCCTTAAGGCTGAGGACTCCACAAATTCCAATATCGGAAATATCAAATGACAAAATTCACGTTCTGGTTCACGAGTCTTTACAATGTCCCCAAAATGAATTCGTATTGAGGATCTGAATATTGTGCTCCGTGTTTTCACTGTGACTGGGGAATCTAACACACATTATAAATAATGACATTGTACTCTCCTCACCTAGGTCTATAGTGGTTTTGAAAATAGCAAATACTTAGTGTGTGCACTGCCAAAGAGAATGAAGGTAATTATTAGAGATTGTTGGTTGTATTGTCAGAAATGCATATCAAATTTCCGCGTGGGGCATGTAATTATCGCAATTATATTGTATCCAATCTACTAATTAGACTTTAGGTTTTGCGCCGTGACTTCGAAAGTACGTGATGTAACTTCACTAATTAGTCGTGGAAAGTTGAATATGGAATTAGGGAGTCATTCTATTCATTATGCAAAGTCTAGGGATATATTGTCTTGCTATCATTAGTTGAATACTAGTATGGGTAGTGCATAAGAGGGCTTAATACCTTTAGGTTAATGAAGAAAGCGGAATAGTAGGAAGTAACTAAACTTAACCATGCTTACGCTTACAAATTAAAACGCGTATGTATGAACAGCAGTGGTGTATCTCCAGGTTGGAGAAATGTGAAGCGTGGTTATTAAACTTTGGGATAGACAGGGACAGTTTTGTATATTTTAGATAAGGGAAAGGGATACGTAATTGAATACCATGGTTGACGCAGTGGTAATGGTGTACTAGTATGTATTATGCTGGATATTTACTATATTACTTCAGTTAATAATTATTATTCAACTAGTAAACGCATTTGCTAAACAAACTAAGACTGAGCTTTGAAAGTTACTTTATTATGTCTATGTGAAAATACTTTACCGAACACTGGGGTTGGGTGTACTCTAACCACAGTATGTTAAAGCGGAGATGTTGTCATCTGTGTATGCATGAGTTGTTACCGTCGTTTAGGATTACAGGAATAGATTATAATTGGTATTTTTGTGCACTCAATATTGTATGATAAAATACAAGTATTCCAGGTCGGTGGCACAACTACAGCAAATCTTAAATTTTATTGCAAATGTCGTCAATACATGCGAGCCTAATTTTTTCAGGTGTTGATGGAGCATCAAGTCTGAAGTATCCACGAACTCCTTCGTCTGATCTAGCAGCCGCTACAGCATATTTAATAGCCATCAGTACTGATACTCCAATCATTACTGTCATTTCTCCCACACCCTAGCAAATAAAAACAGATTGTCAGTTTATATATATGTGTGTATCATATATTAATATATTAATTCATTTTCGTTCAGAAAAATGCCTATAAATGCAGTATGACAGTATTGTTGGCCATATGCGTATCCTACTACCAAACAAACTGTTGCGAAGCACTAATTATCGATAGACTAATATTTCACACACGTTTATATGGTTATTTTAATTACAAATACCATGCAGTTCATACAAGTAACAAAGCGATGTTTTAATTAAGGATACAATGAAACTGATGTTTAGTTTCCCTTCGCTTTCGTGAGAAAAATGTTTTTAAAAGTTGCAAACACAGTTGTAAAACACCCCCAAACAGCGCCCAAACAAAATGTGCTTATTATAATTACTTAACTACGCTCACGTTGATATTTTGGCGGGACGGCCACTATGTGGATTTAGGCATTGATCTGTGCCACTGATTTCATTGGGTTGGGTTGAATATACGAATTGATTTCTAATTTCTGTTTCTTTGTTGAATAGTTCAAATGGTTCCACATCGTGCCTTACGAGATGTACAATAATATATGTCTCTCAGGAATTTTAGTAAGATTTGTTAAATATGTAAATTTATTACTAAAATCCTGATTTATGAAATACTTTTGAAGCAACTTTGTGTATTATACATATAGTGCACCGAAGAGCCACTGTCATACTGACTGAGGGTTGAATATCTCGAATTTCAATGGACAGATGTTTTGAATCGTAATATGCATTTTTTAATATATAATTGTTTGGTTATACTGACCCGTGCTGAGAATACCCCAGCTTCGTTTGGTGCGTCTGGCAATAGTGATACGTTGAACCTTCTCGGTGTGTCACTGATCCACGGTATTTTGTACATTCCGGGACCCTTTGTCAGTAATTCCCCTTTAGGTGAATATCTAAGTTCTTCAAGGCAATAATAACCATATCCCATCATGAAAGCACCTTCAATCTGTAATGCCAAGTTATTATACATCAATTTATGTTGAATATCATTATACAAATTAATTATCAAAACAAGAACACACCACTTGATCCGAAAGAAATCACAATAGTAGTTATATTTAAACAGATACATGTGATATCATGCAGATCCAAGTGCAAACTGAATTTTATTGCTGCCTTAATGTAAAATGTGTTGCGCACATTTTTTACTTCAAAAAGTTTGTTTCCTGTTTCTGTGGAAAACTATTATTGTTTTTCCACCAATATACCTGTCCAGCAAGCTGAGACAATTATTTATATAAAAAAATACCCACTAATTTCTAGTCACGACTATTCTTTCAACATTTAAATAAAACTCTCTCGATAGAAACAGTTCATCAATAATGTTATAAATGAAATATTTTTTATTAAGTTACATTAATTTAATTTTTAATTTTCATTTGAATTGGCTTCACATGGGAGCCAAAACGGCGACTAGGAAGACCACGTGTTTCTTGTAATGTTCAAACAAACAGAGACGTAGAATTTACCTGTCCAATATCTAGTGCTGGATTCAGACTATTGCCACTATCTATTACAATATTCATCTGTCTTATATAGTGATCACCAGTTAAACAATCAATCTCCACTTCACAACATCCGGCGCCATAAGAAAAATAGTACATAGCACGACTACTTCCTGGATCATCGCAGTCAAAGCCGAATTTGCCTTCATAACTATGGGTATAATATACAATATGTTAGTAAGTTGACCCGAATGAATCGATATTTATTGCATTGTCTCATATAATAGTATCGTGTCTACTATCATGGTTACGTACGCATGGAATAGTGGAACATTAGACGCGATTGAAGGGAGATAATGGTACCCTATTTAAAATCAAGTCACGTGGTTCACAACGAGATTCTGGCAGCTATTTGTGTCTAATGTCGATTGGACAGCTGTCAACATTTGACAACATTTGGCAGACGAACACATCAGAGTTTTCAAAATATTGTATAATGCCAAAAACAACGTGCAAATTGGTGTATTGTAGATAACTAAAATGGGAAATTGGGTATTTTGGGGTGTCGATTATGTATATTTGTTGTATACTATAACATACTTGAAATGTCCCGTTGCAGATAGACTGACTCTGTTTTGGTAGGCGATATTCACCTGCAAAAATAAATAATATTTGCATTAATAATAACTGCCATCTTAGTTGTCAGTAGTATATATGTGAGAGAATAAGTGAATTAACATTGTATACCCATTCTTTCCATGTGCCATTGGGGTTGTCTTTAATGAATGGATTCAGTCTTCCCATCAATATTTCACAAGCATTCTGTAAAAGAAGAGTATATCACTCATATAAATGCAGTTTGAATATTATATATACTAGCAATGTAAGTAATATGTTGAAAATATACAATTTAAATTAGCTAACTTGCATACATTAAGTGTCAATTTATCAAGAGCAAATTACCATTGACAGCTCTTGTGTTTACAGAATACAAAAAATCAAACTGATAAGTTTTCACAGTTTTGAATAAACATAATGTTTGTTGGGTCAAGCAATCCCACGGTTTTGGGGACTAAGGCCTTCCACCTAATCAGAATATAAACCACAATACGCTTAGTTTCAGCTTTACGATTGTTAAAATTTTATTTTGCAAGTGTAACAATATATGTATATCTAATTCCAAATCAGCACTTTAATCATTATTTTTAGTATTTAGTTATTAGGTTAGAGTGATGTAATTATGTAATTAACACATGGTAATTACAAAAGAAGATGATCGTGTAACATAAAACGTGGTGGGGTCAAGTGACATAATAAGATGCAGGTGACGAAATGTATACAGCAGTTTTTCAGTGGTTAGCGACCATAAATGGTTCAATTTTTTAATGTATGAATTTATTCTATGCTGTTGTTAACAAGACCCAAATAAATGTTTGCACCTTTTCAAGCAGTTTCTCAAAATATTTCATACTGGTCGAAGTTATCATCTCCAAGTTTTAAAAACATCGTGACAACATGATTTGATTGTGCAGAAATGAAACACTCAAATACTAAATAATAAATCTGCAAAAGTTTGTTGCATGTTCAGACTACGGTGGTTGAAATACACTGATAAATGATGATGGCAATTATATATAACTGCTTTGTACACACCTTTACAGCACTGCCAAATAGATCAGTGCCACTGGATGCAGCGGTCTGTATTGAGTTAGGAACTTTATCGGTACTTGTCTCAGTAATATGAATATAATCGCTAGAAATACCGAGAATACGACTAGCAATCTGTTTTGTCTTGGTAAACAACCCCTGACCCATTTCTATACCACCATGGCTGAGTAAAACCGAACCATCTAGATATATATGAACCAGTGCTCCTCCCTAATAATAATACATATATATTATAAGGTCATAAATATCATAAATTCCTTTAGACAATTGTGGGTGACATTATTTTAATCAGGTGATAGAATAGCATACGTTCCGATATTATCCATTAAATTCTCATTGGTTCATTACAGTACACACAATTATATATAAATAATATATGAGTCAGTTATGATTTTCATTTTGGCTGATGTTTTGATAAAAAAAAAATGTCTCCGAAGGCTGTGAAACTATCCATTTGTCCGCACATTTTCGATTACATAATGTTATATCCTCACTCAGAATGAAAAAAAAACACGTTGAATGTACAACTGCTGTGACAAGAATTGAAACGAAGGTAAGACTTATCATCTTAATGGCCAAGCAACTTTGTGGGTGTATAAAGTAATTGCTTGAGATCATTCTGGTAAGTGTTTGAGAGAATAAATTAAGATAATTTAATACAATAGATATTAATATTGATAATTCCACATCCAGGTTTTACTTACTACATGTGGTGGTAAAGGTCCTATGGCAGTTTTTACAGGAGTTATTGCAATCCCACGCTTCTTCCATCGAAAGGAACTATAAATGAAATATTATTCAGAAATAAAAAAATGCAAACATTACGCAATTGACAAAGTGAATAAATTAAATTAACCAATTACATCTTACTAAAAGTGGCTAAAGTCTTGCTGTATAATTAACCAGCTTAGATGTTCAGAAGAAATAACAAAGGAAACAACGACACGTGTAACTGCATACCTGTTGAATGTATCTACATCTTTCTGTAGATTGTAGTAATCACTCTGCTTGAGACACTCAATCCAGCATCTTCTTATGTTTCTGACATCTGGCATGTCTTGAAATAAACTGTCACTAAGTCCATCATACATATTTCTTTCTCTAACCTACAACAATATATGTATAAATATAGTGTTACATATGTAATTATGGTAAATGTGTCCAGCTAAGGGTTTATTGCTTTAGCAAATTTGTGCAGAACCATCCAATGGCCAGTAACAAATACATTGACAAATATTGAGATTATGGATAGATTGCCCAGTGATTTCGATTGAATAGCAAATCTGGTTCACCAACATACTGCCTTAGACTTCACGAACGTGTTTGAGATTACCAACCATTCCGGAGTCTCCGCTAAATTTCATTGGATATATCATACTGATTGTCAAAACGCAATCAATATGTTCAGTCAGATAGTTACATATGTCTGATGTTTCTGCCAACTGTGAAGTGTCCAATGCTTGTTTTGATTTGTATTGTTTACATGTTAGTTTTTTAAAAAATCTTTGTTCTGTCATTATCACCTACATACATCGTTCACATTTAACCTTCCTACAGTCAATGATTGAAAAAAGTATGAATATGGAATTTATATATATATAATTTTACATATCAACCTTTTCTGATGGAAACCCACATTCATTTGTCACGTGGTCTATGATTGTTTCCATAATTCCCATTGATTGTGGTGCTCCAAACCCCCGCATAGCGGTGCAGCTGGGTAGATTTGTCTTGCATAGTATGCCATCAATCTCATAAACTGGTATGTTGTACGTGTTATGCAAAGTGGCAAGTAATTGTTCCATCACCTAATGTAAGTAAGAATAATACAATTTACAGTAGGATCAAATTTCAAAGATCATAAACATAATGAAATATGTATATATGAAACACACACGTGTTTGAAATTCTCACAGTGCATGATTGACAGTCACCACTTAGATATAACATGGCAAACAATAAATCGGCGCTTACTGTTTTTACTGTGACTTATTTAATCTTCGCCCAATGATGTTATATTTTAGAGTTTAACTAATGAGACACACAAGTGTAATCTTATTGCAATAATTGTATTATGCTTTTGTGTATACAGACTTATTGATATGACTTGTTCATACCCAGTCTTACTTTGTGTAGACAATGATTTCAAAATGATAATTGTGTCTTTATGCTACCATTTCCAAATATTGATGATGTCCTGAATAATGTCTGCATTTGAATACACTTGTGTAAATTTAAATTTATCAGATTATTTCATTCTGGGTAGGTACTTAAATTAGCAGTAAACATCCAGGAACGTATATCTTTACCTAGAAATCAACAAGAGCTAGTCCTGGCCATATCAGCTAAGCTAAATCCATTGAGAATAATATCTGGTACCACAAATTTGATCATTATTGATTCACAATTATATTTTCATAATTATTTATAAGAGTGAAATGAAAATCAATGTTTTAAACACATAATAGGGTTTCCCAATAAATGTGGAACTTACATTAACTGAACGACCAGTATAACATCCACCATTTAGAAATATCTTGGCTTGTAGAACTTTAAGAATTCCTTGCTTGGAGAATCCTACCTTGTACCTCGCTAGTACTGGATGTCTAGTACCAATAAATTGCATGTCAGTGTCCCGTGTAAGTGTACTTCGGATTGGTTTTGCAAGTCTGTTAAAAACATTAACAAATATAACATTATAAATAGTACATCGAATGGTACATTAGGAAGACTGCTTATATTTTTTATAATGGGGGGGGGGCTCAACTCATGATGAGAATAATTCGGAACTAGTCCTTACAAAATATTATAATTTACCTCTTAGCTGCCACTGCACACTTAGCAGCCTGTGATGTGACAAACTCAAATTTACCACCAAAAGCTCCTCCTAAACGCCGCGTTTTGCAGGTCACTTTATTGATTGGTATAGCTAATGTATCAGCAACTGCCCTCTGAAAATAATCAAAAGATTATAGTCAAACTGCCTACAGTATAAATGCGTACATGTGCGAGAATCGTATTATAAGTGATGATCACCAGACAGGTTTCAATAAAGATAATTGTAGTGCAGATAAGTCACATGAGTCATACCTGAACCATGGTTAAATTCCGGCATGTAGCAGATACAGTGATTTCACCATTTTCACCTGGTTTAACAATGCAACATTGTGTCTCCATATAATAATGACTCTGTCCACCAAGATATATCTCTCCTTCAATGACGTAATCCGATTGATCAAACGCTGACGTCACATTACCAACAGATATATGCTTATCATGTGGATGATAGGAGTTTGCATGTATAGCATCCTGAAATATTAAATTACTGATCGTGAACTTTGTAATCCAGCTTACATTAGACCATGGGCAAAATACAGTTTGTTTGCTATCTTTGCTCAAGTCTTTAGAATATTGTTGGGTAAATAACAAAAACACAAAATGACAATAGAATTCAACATAATGAGTTAATTTATTTAAATGGCATTTGGCACAAGAATGGATAATTACATAGTATGCTGTATAATTTTGGGGATGAGAGTTATTGATTTTTAAAAATATAGGTACCACAGACCAACAAAGAGTCGTAAAATTTTGACTCGGACATATTAAACACACCATGTTCTATTCGCAAAATCTGACATAAATTTGGCTTGAACAATATAGTAGTGCTGGTACTACTAACAACCCATTATGCATATGATACCAATAGTAAGCTCATTAAACTAGTTTCTTCATTTATTCAATTGTTTTAGGTATGACATCACAGGCCTGCATATTTCCATTCTATGTGGATGTTGGTTTACCAACAAAAACATACCCCCTCCCATTCATGGATTCATGTAGAATATATACGTGGTTTAATACATGCTGTTAACTGTTCCGCTTAAACACAATCCATCCTCCCATTACATTATCATTCGCGATTTCTAACATGTATTAGCATCTCTTATAAGATATACGAATATTCCGTAATAAAGCTTGCTGGTCCGTTTGGATCAACGACCACAATTTCAAATACATCACAATTGGACGCTTTCGGTAAATATGTCCAATCAAATACTCAAACGCCATTCATTCTGCTTACAGTGGCGAGGCATACTGAGTTGTATGTTCGAATCTCTCTGAGCAATTGACTTTATTGAACTTGATATTATACAGTATACAACAAGCATATAACCAAATATATACTGTAAAAGGATTATTTCTAGCACGAAAGATGTGTTATACTGTTGTAACAGTATAACACTGGTCTATATATTCCCGTGACTAAAATAACAAAATTGAAGACCAATTTCAGAATGAAAATTACAATGTTAACTAGTGATCGAGATTACATGCACATATAAACATGAAACACAAGACTTGGGCTCACAACTTGGCGTGTCTAAAAAAAGTGTTCAAACAATATAGAGTGCACCTAGGTGGTATTTTATCACATTTATCGAATATTCCCACCTGTGCGATATTGTGGATTGAAGGATTCTTGAACAAAACATACCTCAATTGTAAGTATATGTGGAAGGTCTTCATATTGAACTTTAACTAGTTTTGCAGCCTGACTCGCCAATTTTGGATCAACGGCCACAATTCCACCAATACATTGACCGTAGCATACCACCTAGAAAAAAGATCGAGCGGTTATGTACCATATAATCTGTTGTGTGCCTATACCTAAATTATACAATACATTGATGTTTTGCGAAGCTAAAAATTAATTCAAATACAATTCAGATAAGACAATTATAGTAATTTTCACATCTGTATATATGACACTTATGTCACATTGTTCTTGCACACTCTCTACAAAGGAACACGTGGAAATCGCAATTTAAATACTAGTATGTCTGACAAAATGAAAATCTAATGGCAAGTATCCCCTCACAAGATTGAGTCTTCTGGTAAACCCAATGTATACCCTTCTTTTTGAAGCTGCGTTATTGCGAATTAAGCGATAAATTACAACAATTCACTCAATGGAAATAAAGAGTAACAAACCAAAATATAAAATCAATAATGTGTACCATAATATCTTACATCTGATATTTATTTCATATTGGATTTGTCATACATTATATACAATGCACCTACTTGTTTGGATGCAAACACTTCTTCTTCTGGTTCGTTCGAAGAAGGGCTTTTCAAAGAATTGAGTCCAGGAACGTCTTCAGCACCAATGTAACATATTACACCATCTAAAGACGTAGCACCACTTGTGTCAATTGAGCTATTGGGAAAATTCACAATAAAAGATGTATTTAATAACTATATATGTGTATGATTTCTTTGGTTATTTGCACACCATTATGAGAAAAATCGTTTTGATTATGATAATTACAAAGAATCGGCTGTGGATAATGGATGAATGATATTTCTTACATTGAAATATGATATATATACATACATTTGTTGTTTTTGACGTACTTTAAATATATGTTTGTGTTGTTTTGGAGCTTTCATATGGCACGTGTATGTAAATCAGCGTGAAGGCTAATCATAACGACAACAAACGTTATATGGTGTGCTGTATGTATATGCGGATGGTCGTATTTACTGCAAGCTAGTTGATATTATAAAAGAATATGCCGGTAAGTTATATGTAGTCTATTACACGCCTAGCAATATGCAGTACGCGAACTACAATAGGAGTAAGTTAGTTAGTAGTATCAATGAAAAGATATTGGGATAATTGGAAATTAACAAATACCAACGCAATATAACTAACTACCTTTTTGGCGTATTTCACATGTGAGTACGATTTTGGTAGTGGATATACAATTATATACTACTAATTACCATCGCGTTGCCGATTATAACTCTGAATAATCTACTGCCCACCACCAAAATCATAATGCCGTTCTTTTATAATAATCACACAATTACCTAATAATTAACATAGTTCAAGGTAAAATTTAGCACATCATATAATATTGAATGAACATAAACAACACTTACACAATATTGGCATGTGCATGTGTACTAGTAACCATGGCAAAGAACAATTCACCTGCAATAATGGTAAAATACACTGATACGACCATTTGAAGTAACCATTTGGTAATGTACTCCCGGAATATGAATAACTTACACAACTATATCAATGAGATTTTGCGACCGGAACCACATGACCGAGGCTGTAAAGCTACAGCGTAGATTTACAAAAGCAAAAACCAACAAAGCTATAAATGTACAGCTTGTTCCAGCTACTGTTATAGCAGGGAACATATTGATGGACAGGAATATATAATTACAGTGTGGGCCAGGTACTGCGACATATTGAGTTTCTAAATTCACAGCGTGGGTCAAGTGATATTATACAATGGAAAACATTGACGAGTAATTTTCAGCATGAGCTAGTATTGGTATTGTACATTTATTGTACGTGAAATGTTATTTGACATTAGATATGAAAATTATAAGAAGACAGTATGAAACCCTAAATGAAGTTCTAAAACACATTTATGTTTTTATCTTTTTTAAAATCTAGTTGACTTTGCGCAAATATATGATTTGTAGTTACCTTCTTCACTCAGTGTGTCATCCATGAACACGGCTTCTCCGGTAACTAGCGCAAAACTTGATTCGTTCATAGAAGGTCGTCCAACAAGCTCGGTCTTTCGTTGAAGATCTGGGACACACTATAAATAAAATAAAACATGATATTACAGCCTCGGTAAGTTATCAAGTTTAAGAAATATATAAATCCTGAGCTTGGATGGTGAAAACCTGTCGGATAAAAAATGACCAGCAGTCGAGCAGTCGGTATGTTTGAACAAAATAACGGATAAATGCTTAATTTCGATGATTCTTCTAACATTAAAATGGCCGCCATTTGGCTATCTTGAACCAGATGAATCACCGAATGAATAATTGCGCGTATCTTCAAATTTGATGTGTGGCGTATAATTGTCATGAGCTCCCTTAAATTATAACTTCAGGTCACGGCGGGTGGATACTATTTTTATGACCCAAGCCCGTGGACACACCATCCTATCCATTGTCATGCACTTCACGTATGTAGATAAAATGGTTTGCGTGGTTCTTACCTGATATGACTGAGTGCCTGTAAATGGCATTTTCTTTGTCATGGTAACTGATGGTCGGCGTAAATCAGGCGATTTGACGATGTTCTAGAAAGAAGATTCCAATAATATATGAGACAAAAATAAATAAGTGAAACACAATTCGATTCATTGGATAATGTTTTTAATTAAAAAGCGCAAATTATGCACTAAAGCAGAATGTCTATTACCTACAATAAAAAATAGATCCAGTCTTGCAGAGAAATCAGTTTGTATACACAGACCAGACATACTATTGTACTAACCTTCAATGTACAATGTTCATTCATAACTTTAATAAAAAACTTAAAGAAAAAGCTTTGCAAAAGAGTCTTTCTATATTCCACCATTCTTAACTGTGACGATATTGGAAATTGTTCACTTAAAATTTGCATCACGTCTTTCAGTAGATCTTCATTCCACTTCCTTGTGAGCAAAGGTAAAAAACAATTGACTAATTTTGAAAACTCTCTGCTGTCTAACTAGAACATTGGTTTATTTAGGCAATGGACAAAGTACTCTACTGGAACGTAGGAGGGAACCTGTTCCAACATCACTTGCACAGGTAAATAGATCATATGTGGAGGTAATTACCCCGGCTACCGGGAATACTTGCAAAGGCGACTTGAGCATTTATCTACGTCGGATTTTATCTGCAAGTCAGCTGTTCGATCATAACATTGTCAGTTAATCAGAAATTACACAAAAAATAGCATAAACAACAACATAGCAAAACAGAAATGTATACTCACCTTCCCACAATATAATCAGATACGTGAGTTGCCATGGCAATAGTAGGTCCCATTCCACTGAAACAGATGCTCATTTCTTCGACTTTATCAGTATTCCATTCGAAGAGTACCCTCATTCCACAGCTGACTATGTCAATGTTTTTATCACGTCGATGAACATATTTATTAACTTTATATCCAGCACAATATTCATTCTGATGCATACATGTGAGATGAAGAAAAGTGGTAAAATAATACATGACGTATCTTTATTATTTATGTGAATTGCAACAATGTGGAACTATCAGACATTTGAAAGTTTGTCTGGACACAAGATAGATGAAAATGTAAATCACCCGGACAATAACACTATGAAATATGCTAGAGCCCCAGATTGACAACATTATCGAATTCGGGGGAAGATTTTTCAGCAAAGTGGTATGTCCTACTAATTCTGTATGTTTTCCTAATCAAATAATCTGTATATAACTTGAAGTGAAACTTTCATATAAATAGCCTGAAAATATAAGCTTTATGCCTTGAAGTCCTTTATTTCTCTCACTGATTTGACCATAAATTGTATTATACTTCTGGTTTGTGTATATTTTGTGTTCATGACTATTAATTTTGATTTGGTATGGTGTTATCTATACTCACCTCTTTGGAACAAGGAATACTAAGACTCACTAATACTTGATCAGAAGACAGGATAGTTTTTCTGTATCCAGTATAGAAATCCTTATTCATTGGTAGTGTATGAAATCCATCTGTTGGAAAAAAACAATTACGAGATGTTAGAATAAATAAGTCAGATGTATTTACATATATGAGTAGTTTTTCACAATGCACATTAGTTTTTGATAAATCATACCTTTATGAGATGCAATGTTTAGTGTGACTCCGGCAACCATTAGCAATGGATTGATGTCAGATAAGGGACTTGCAGTCATTATGTGACTACCAATTCCCTGCAAAAGTCAATAGATTAGTCACATGTGTTAAATTTGAGTCACTAAACCAAACCTTAGCAATTTAAAAAAAATGTAATTAACAAAAAAACCATTAGCTTTTGATGTCTTGTGAAAGTTAGATTATGTATTATGAATGTTATTGTGAATGGCAATGAGTGTTAATAGGGTTTGTGATAGAATTGTCGATCTTAAAAAATCCATAATTCAAATATAGTTCCAATGAACATTAGTTACTCACTGCAACGTTTCTTATTTGATTGTCTCCAACCGAATATAGCATATCCAGTATAGCCTGATAAACACGATTTGGGACACCTTTGAAAACAACAACAAACAGTTTAGAGTTATAGAGTTTGTAAACTTCATCGAAAGAATAAAATTACATTTTTATTTTCTGTTGGATGTATCATGTAATCCACGCCCCATCGTCTCATACGAGTTTAACGAGCTCCATGGCGTTGTTCACATACCACGCACGAACTAGTGATTCGAAAGTTACAGCATAGTTCAATACTCACGGGGTAATTCATTTATTCGTTCGTTCAGTACGTCAATCATTCCCGCCATCGTGATAGACGCACCAAGTTTGATGGACGATTCTAACAGGTGTACTTGTTTCATCTCTGGTACATGAGAGACTGAGATGAGTGTACGCTGGATACCGATTGGTTTTGGCATAAAACCTAAAATATAATTTGTTGAAGCTTTAAAATGTGCCAGATATCATATTTTTGTTTAACACTTACAACCCCATATCGTTAGATTACATAAATAAATAAATATATTGGGTATCCGTCGAAGAACAAAACATATTTTAATGACACACTGTCAAAATGGTCAGGTTTAATAATTGTCGTCGCATATGAGTACCCAAGTTTATGGAAAGAAAACTTGTTAATTAGAGACAGTAAACTAACAAGCTTATTAACATTAGCTGCTATTTTGACACATGTAATGATACATTTTAACCGATAACTACAACATATGTACATCAAACAACAGGCAAATGAAATCACCAGCGCATATATTCATGGCCCCATCGACCGCATTGAGATGTTAGTAGTCACATTTTTCTTCGAAACATCGTAACTGGCTCATTTTTCGAAGCACCCAGTCATGATGTGACTGGCTTGGGCCGGATTGGCATAGCGATTTAATTATATCTTCGGTTCTTCTTTAATAGTCATTTATTTTAATTATTATAATGCAGCAAAAATGGAGTATGGTAATGTGTACAATTATATGTTTTTAAATGACGCATAAACAAATATTTTGCAATTTTATAGACCAACAGTCTACATTCAAAACTCGAATATGGTGCGGTAGGAGTGCGTTGTTCATAAAAAATAAAAATAAATCAACATATTTACATTAGAATTTGAATACCAGCTATCGTAAATTATCACATATCTAGATTCTTACCGACTTCAGCATTTCCAAGAACCAGTATAGCGTCTGGGATATCGCATTTGTACTTCAATAATTCCGCAAGTGTTGTAGGACGAATCCAAACGACGGATTTACCAGCAAAGAACACAGTCTTTCGGTGGAAGTGGTCATTTAACTGTGTGTTGAAAATATTACAATAACTGTGAAATATGAATAGTTCAACTGTTATATTATCTAATGAAATTATTTTCCTATACCACGTAGGTTACTGATTAACTATGAAAACACAATATTAATACGTTTAAGGAATTGGGTAATGGATATGTATGTTTTACCTGCAGTTCAGAAGGAAATATAGGCTCCTGTGTTTCGTTATAAGGTGCAAATTCGCCAGTTACTAGACTTGAATTCTAGACAATGGCAGATAAAAAGAAAGAAAATAATAAAAAAATGGGAATTATAATTAGAGCGTGATTCTGTAGATGTTATAGCAGCATAGTGGGATTAATGTCATATGACGTAATCCATTGAGCTAATCAGGACTCTCCTATTCATAATTCAGTAATAATATTGTCTTACATAATTTTCACTGCCTGTCGCTGCACACCCACACTTAGAAGGACTTCCACAGCAACCATTCTGAGGAAGAAAAATAAATATATAATGTAGCATTCGCCATAAAAAAAGTATACAAATAACAATTAAACATGTATTGTCATTTGGAGTGGAAGTGAATTCACTTTTTCTGAACTGATAAAATCAAAATATATTCACAAAGAGAGTTTTTTTTCAATTCATTACTAACAAGGTCAATATTATTGTATACCTGTGCAAAGGTGTTGAATGCTTGTAATATTGGTCTGTATCCAGTACAACGACATAAATTACCCACCAAGGCCATTTCAATGTCCGCCACTGCTGGCAATGTGTTGTTACGTAACAAGGTGTACATTGACTTTACCATACCAGGTGTGCAAAATCCACACTGTAATCCATGGTACTTTGCAAGACGTTCCTGTTCAAAAAATTTTCAATAAGTTACCGTGATGCAATTCTCAAGTTAATCTTATACTGTATTAAATTGTGTATTATTATACGCAATTTAAATATTACTAAATTCATTGTAATATATAATATGAAAGCCAATAACTTTCACTCAGTTCTTAACTTAAACAAATAATTAGGAATATTATAATGTCAACCAATTACTGCAAACAAAATCTATTTATAGAATAATGTCGCAAACGTTATCCCACTTTGAAACGTTTTGTCAATGCATGGTGATTCGCCCGTTTCTTGTTTATTACTTCACCTACCTCCACTAAGTGTAACATCTTCCAACCTACCTGCACTTCCTCGTTGACTCATTATCTTCTATGATAGTAATTACAATACCATACAAAGAGGTAACTGTACTTACCTGCACTGGGTGTAACTTTGTCGTTGATCCAACACCTTCCACAGTAGTGATGGCCATACCATGTACAGAGCAGACAGGGGTATAACAAGCATTAATGGCGTGATGACTTTAAATATAAGAGAAATTAACATTCGTAAAATAACATATATTTGTAACAATTTATTTATAATTATATTATTCATTTATTTACTAATTCGTTGGTTTTCAGCGGGACTTTTAATTTACCTGTATTTCTGTACTACAAGCTAATAAAAATACCTTTTTAGAGTAAGGAATAAGACCGTCCCATTCATCTTTCGCACTCTACTCTTATATTTAAAATAGCATCGATACACTTAATTGACCAATTGTTTTGAAATATTCAGATAAGCATCAGTCTGTGGATCTTTTACCAGCACAAACATATACGTGAAAAGCCATCCTATGAACAGATAACAATTCATTACTCCAATTTTGTTGTTATGGGACAACGATTTGAAGTCAATTAATCGCATTTGATCTTAATATTTTTTGTTTTACCCTCCAATTTAACTAGATTACGAAGAAAAACCCAACACAAATATGTCTTATAATATAATATGATATTTGATACATAATGTGTGTATTACTGGAATAAAGTTTGGGTTTCTGGTTTAATAGCAAAAACACGGCTTTTCTGGAGCCCCTGTTAAAGTTGTTTTATCTACTTTATGATCACTTTCTTTCTATCGACTGTCCATTGTTAGTAGTCGCAGAATAAAGTTAGCATAATTCAAAAAGGCTTTAAAAAGTATGTCTTTTTGATATGCTGCTCACTGCACTTTATCATTAAATAAATACGTTGTCCGTGAAGGTTAATATAAAGGATACAGTATCTTTTTCTGTTGGTGGTCATATTTGGATAACATCACAGTGCATGCCCCACATCCACCTTCACCACAGCTAAATTTACTTCCTCTCAACCCAACTACAATGCTAAGTTAAGGAAGATCCATTTATGACTTTATGAAACCAGCTTTAAGAACACATGTATCATGAATTACGGAATATAACATCTGTCGAGATTCAATAAGTAAACATTTGCAAGGATACGTTTTCTTCGAATATAAATCAACAAATTCATTTCTGGATCCACGCATTTATCGACAATCTTTTAGAGAAAATAATAATTTGGTTTCAATAAAATTGCATTACATAAATACATAAACTACTTTTAGTTGAACAGTGCGTTAAATTATTGCAAAGCTCTCGGTCGCCCATGTTGTGCCACAATGGTGAATCATATTTTTACATGTCCATACCATAATTGGTGTGCTAGCTGTTTGGTAAGTAATCTAACACGAAGGAAGTGTACTATAGCAAACACTCACAGCCAGAACGACAGTTAATGCACTGGTGAACATAAATAGCGTACGCATAAAATAAAGTTTAGAACTCCTGTGTGCTAAGAGCTCATGAAGGTCTCCCTGAACGATTGGCAGTCTGTAGTTTATCAAAGAGCACCTACATGCATTCACGATATGGTCTAATTAACCAATATGCATGTACATATGTGACTTGCAGAACATGGCTACACGTCAGGAGCAAAGAGTCAAAAGAAAATGATCAATGACAGTGTTTATGTGTATTCGCTATAGAACTAGTCAGTGCCTTGAAACACGGGGCTCATATTCATAGTGCGTGTGTTTTTCAAGGTGTCGTTTTTCTGTACATCGTGTTGTTACACGAATGCACACTGTGGTAATATTATTGGAACGTTACGGTAGTATTTATTTAATATTTACCTTTCTTCCATTAACGAATAATACAAACTCATCAGGTTGCAGCTGGTCCACTTCAACATAATTCTTCACTGTATCCATGTTTACAGTCAAATGGCAGTCGTCACTTTAAGATTTTGCTCAGCACTGCAACGTTATATCTGCTATTATTAAAACATATAATTGGATTTTTTTAACAAGGCAATTGTTAGTGTTACAATATCTGCCGAACACCAGTGCATATAAAAATATTAATAAACTAGTTTGTGAGTATTACCAAAGTCTTTGGTATTACTACCTATTAAACAGGGTGAAAATGATATCAAAATATTTTGTTTTAAAATCCATTACAATTTTAAAATCTGATCTAATCTTACCTGGCACAAATTATAGTTTTAGAAAAAAAATATATAAATATATATATAAATATCAACAATTTCCATGTACACAAATTATTTCTTACAATGAACATAATTGAATTTAACATAAAATGAGTTTGTTAAAATGATAATCTTGAATTTATTTAAGACATGACAGATAAAATTGCGAGGAGCGTTGTTGAATAAGTATGGTCAGGTTACGGGTAACAGAAAATTGAAGACATATGGCCATGACTAATCGAAGAACGAGATATATGGCTATGTACGTGAACGCCCTATAATAAGTACTGAAGAATTTGTTATTTGAGCTAAGAAACGTCTTTCCAATGTACCAATACATGCATTTCATTGTACTTATAGAAAGTCCATATCTCGTAATAATACTTGTATTTTGAAACCATAAAGATCGAACGATTTGATTTTGAATGTATGTTTTTTTATAGCTCAATGCCGTAATGGCAATCCTTGAGAGAGAATTATTGCATTGAGATACCCCTACTTCATCGAAATTAATCATTATCAAATGTGTATCACATTATTAAGCATGGAAATACCCAAACATACTTTCGCGTTTGACGAAACCTACGCGACGTTCGGAGGCCACTGCGACGCTGTGACCTTTGTTTGCCCTGTTTTTTGCTCGATACCAAGCATAACGTGGGGTCTCGCAGTCAACGAAAAATGGTCTGTTACAAGTTATTTACATGTTCATTTATATTGCAAGCTACGATGACTGGTCGCGACATTAATATATATAATTAATTATATGTTAACTGGATTTAACTCTCGTAAATGAATCAATTTGTTACTGTATAACTAATAATATGTCGTAATATTTGTTGTCTAAAAAGTTTATTTTAAATTATTTAAACGTCAATATTCAATAAATTGAACGTGAGTTGTTTTCCAGGTCTACTTGTGCAGCAATGTCTCTCTTTGATTTCAGATATATAATCTATGATAATAATATTCACATACAAATACGTAATTTTGAACATCGGAGAAGCAAGTTTAACTGGCAATGTAATGTGTGTAATGTAATTACCTGATAGAATATAAATAAATGCTTTATTTCAAAACAGCTCCCAACACATAAACATAATGAAGCACCATTTTAAAGACTAACCAGAGGCGGCGGGATGATATTTTGCATGGGGGGCAAGATCTGCTCACCATCCCTCACGGAATGATTATAGAAAACAAGCATATAAACTGCAAACACACAATACGGCGCAATTTGGTGAGAAAACTGCTTATATCATCACGAAAGTTACTAAGTCGGCGCGGAAGTTGTTTACATATCGGCAATTGTCATCATGGGCCACCGTAGTACAACCAATTATATATCACGACACTGTGAACGAATTTTGAATGACCCTGAATGACCCTATACATGCGATCTACAAGTGACAAATCAATAATACATTTACTTGGGACAGATCAGATCACGTAATACCAAAAAGGCGGACATTTGTGATTTTTGAATCTTCCCCTTTATTACTTAAGTTATCACTGGTATATAGTATCTGTTTTAGCCAGAAAAAAATATCTACTCTTCCAACATACTTGCGGTACATTTAGTACAACCCATGGCTAAAGGCAGTAGTGATTATTTCTACATAAACTCGTTTATAAAACTACTAGTGTATTATTATGAATAGATCCTCCCGAGTAAAAATCGGCAGCGTGACACACATACACCACTATATCGTTATACCTTTCCTTCCAATGAACTTAGCAGGTAAAAGCGAGCGTCCAAAGAGTGCGAAGCTCCCATAGTGTCATATCATATCCCTGTGCGCCATATTTGTCCGACCCTGTAGTGAGTATATTCTACTGTTTATCTGTTGCGTGTTACGGGGTGTTTTTTTAAACTATCTCTGAAAATAGGCCAGTACTGTTTGACACTAATGATCTAACCATGGTTACCCATATGGAAGGTAGTAAGTCCAACTATCTTCCAAGTTACTAGTAACTGTGACACAACAGAGCAAAGTGTGCCAGGTTTATAATTCTTTATTTATCGGATTTTGTATTAAAATAAGCAATTGAACGTTTACGCCCGTTGCCGGGTTTAGAGATTAACGGGACAGGGGTGAATACGCGTTAATTTACATAGTGGATGGTGGCTAAGCTTTGATATTAACATTAATTATAAGCACTTGATACAATCCTTCGAAACGGGCGGTTCCCAATAAAATACATTGTTGTGTGGGAGATTTATAAGGGAAGATGTTAAAAAAAGACTAACATATGTGCGAATCAATCAAAGGATACAATACTATAGAATTTGTCGAGGGATATATCTCATAAATAGGTGAAAATTGCATTATCAAAAAGGTCAGTCAGTCAGTTTATCGTCCAGCTGCCGAAAGTCTGTAACAATAATTTTTAATTGGTTTTATTTGTTTATTATGTTTTGAATTATTTTATGGTTTATGAAATAGAACATCATGAGTTTAGCCAAATTCGTTGCAGAAGTGAGTGAACCGTTAAAACAACAGTTCATGGTATTTAAAAATGTCACATAAATATATCTCTAACAGGCTGTGATTTCACACTAATTTCACTAATTTACTAGTTCAATAACGGAAATCAACTCCTTCACAGATTCATTGTTCGAAATAACCACGAGAACGTATGAAAATATTTAACTTACTGGTGAATCAGGATCCAGAGAGTGTTCTGTCGTTATTGGTCTGGCAAGTAGTGATATGTTAGACTGGTCTGTGATACCGCTGAATAATTCCTGTGTTGTTACTGTATGTACCAGTAGAAATACGAAAATTGTATTATTCAAAATGGCAAACAAACGAAAATACCCGGATGTGTGCGAATTACTGTATATGATTAACGGAACCGTTTTCATTAGATTTTTTGAATTAAATGATATATTTTTTTTTAAATTAAATGTCCACGTGCTGAAACTTTAGGTGATGCAGTAGTGTTCTTCTAGTCATATAAACTATATTTCAGAAGACATGATAATAACAAGAATAAAAACAAGAAGAATGTCATTTATTAACCCGTATCATATATTACATATGTAGGTCAACGTCCCCACATTGACAGCTGACTCACGTAAACAGATAGTGTTATAACAAATAAATTGTCATCAAAGTACTGTTTGGAAACTTGACATCAAATTGTCATTAACTATTATCTCAGAACTGGCATTGATAAGAGTGAGCAAAAATACGCACTCACTGTCTATATTCACAAAGAAACATATTCAGGCAACATTCTTGAGGAATGTCATTCGCGATGTGGTCACGTACACCGAGCACGCCAACAGAAAGACTGTCACCACCATGGATGTCATTTACGCAGTGTTCTATACGGTTTTGGTGGTGAGATTTAACATATACAAACCAAAGGCTTTTTAGGGTCACCACATCCTCCAAAAGCAGAATACTGTAACATAATAATAATAATAATAACTTTATTTAATTAAGCGCAACAATTCCAACATATGAAGATCAAAGGCGCTGATACAATAAACAATCAGTCAAATATTAAAAGCACATTTAAATAAATGATTTAAAAATGTCTGCTGAAGGACTAGAACGAACAGACAGAGGTAATTCATTAAAAAGTTTAGGACCTAAATTTTCAAAAGCACGGTCTTTGTATTATAATAACACCTTGGACTTTTTACTACACACCTGACGAGTTTTAATAAGAAACTTCGATTCAGATCTTAAACTACGACTAGGTACATAAAATTCGATTAATTCACATAGATAATTT